TTGCCATTTACATACGATATTGCCCCATCGTTCATCTGAAATATGAACTCGCACCATCCCAGGCAAGCCGACAATCTCCCCTCATCCTCTTCCCAAAAAAGCGACCCCAGTGTGACCCTACCTAGGAGTTGGAGCCCCTAAGAAAGCAGCATTAGTAGTAACGGTAAACGCCGTCCTCCTCCTTATCCTCATCGTCGTAGTTGCCTTTGCTTTTGCTTGTTTTTTCTTTTGCTTGGTCTTGTTTCTGCTTTGCCTTCGCACACACACGCATGTTTCTGCAATCGCTCACCGGGTGGGCTCTCTGATCGTACTGTTGCACATTGCTTTTGCTTTGCCATTCCTTTGCGTTGCTTTTGCTGTTGCTTTGCTTTGCGTTGCTAGTGCGTTGCTGTTGCTGTTGCTGCTTTGCCTTTGCTTTGCTGCTGTGTTACGCTATGCTGTGATATGCTGTGCTATGATATGCTGCACTATGCTGCACTATGCTATGTTCTGCTATGATATGATATGCTATGCTGCGCTATGCAGCGCTATGCTATGCTACGCTAGGCTGCGCTATGTTATGCTAGGATATGGCATGCTATGATATGCTGCGCTATGCTATGCTATGCTGTGATATGCTGCGCTATGCTATGCTATGATATGCTATGCTATGCTGTGATATGATATGCTATGCTATGCTATGCTATGCTATGCTGGGCGATGCTATGATACGCTAAGCTAAGCTGAGCTAAGCTAAGCTACAGCTAAGCGAAGCGAATATCAGTTACGCTAAGCTAAGCTAAGCTAAGATGAGACACGCAAAGCTAAGCTAAGGGGACGTAACTGGGGGAACCGCGGGGCGGATACTGGGGGAACCGCCCGGGGCGATTTCCACTGCCCGGCCCCTTTAAGAAAGAAAGTAATAACCCTCTAGGCAGAGCCTCGATAGGGAACTATGCGCGCACACTCGTTGATCAATCACCATCAGTTTTCAAAAAAACATTGCAACATGATCCGAACGAAGTGTACACGCGCGCGTCGTCGTGGGCGCATGCAAAAATCCTTCTAAGCTTTTCGGTTTCGTACGGGATCCAAAATCAATTGTCCCGAAAACATATAAACCACGTCATTCCGCAAACGGGTGTTTTCAACAAGCACGCGCTTCTGCATATTCTTAAGGAGCCATCGGTTTTTCAACATGCTCATCATATGCTACAGAGCGTGACTCTCGCGCGCGCATGCCGGAATCGCTCGAACGCCCTTGCGCGCGTACTATCACAAGAACCCCTTACAAAAAATGAACGGTGTCAAACCCAGTCTTCGAAAGTGCCTGCGCTCGCGCCCCTGTGCACTTTCTGACAAAATTGCCAGCGGTTTTTCAACATGTTCATTAAATTCGCGCCACATGTAGGAATCATTCGAACGCCTTTGCGTTCGTGCTTGGGGTTGGGGTTACGACGCGTGTCAAACAATACCATGCGGACCACTATCGCGCGTCGGCCGCGCGCGCCTGTCGAACTCTTTCCAAAACATCCATCGCTGACGCGAGGACGCCGTCATCGTCGTCGGTGTGATCAGCATGGGCGCCGTCACTGGCCGTGCCGTCGTCGCTGTAAGCATCGTCGCAAGCATCGCTACTATCATCATCGTGTCTACCGCTGTCGACGCTAACATTGCACCAGGAGGGTTGCACCACATAGACTGCTTCACATAACTCGCGCAGATGTTGCACCACGCGACTTGCACAACATACTTTGCACAACAACCATTTCACCGCACAGGTTGCCCCACAGAGCTTGCAACACAAGAATTGCGCCACATAGATTGTACCACAGAGCTTCTCCTTTTAAAGAAAGAATTCGAATCTCCCCCCCTCCCCCCCGGACTTAACGGCTCACCTTTCCTTGTGTCAACGTACATACTGTTCGGCCCCATGGTCCATCCTAGAATTGATGTCGTACCATCCCAGCCCAACCGGTATCGACACCCCCGGCCATTCTCTGCAAGAAAAATCATGGCCGCGCATACGTTTATCAATAACTACCAGTTTACAAAAATCCTTTGCAACAGACTTGTAACGAAGTGTCCACGCGCGCGTCGTCGCGCGCGCATGCAGAAGTCCCTCGACGGCCTTACGTTTCGTAGGGATTTGAAAACCGAGCGTCCCACAAGAAAGCACATGGTTTCGCAACGCGGCTGTTGCACAAAAACTTGCGCGCACTCATGCGAACTCGTGAGACAATCATATGTTGTTTCAACATGTTCAAAGCATGCTATCAAACTAGATTTTCGCGCGCGCATTGCGAACTCGTTCGAACGCCCTTGCGCGCGCGCTGTCGCAAAAACCCCTTACAAAGGGACGAAGTGCACGCGCGCGCGCGTCGTCGCGCGCGCATGCCGAAATCCTTCGAAAGCACTGGGTTTCGCAATGATTTCAAAACCGAGTATCCCGAAGCCAATTTTTCCAAAACAAAAAACATATGGTTTCACAACATCAGTTTTCAAAAGAAGTTCGCGCCTTCGCACTGGCGAATCCTTCAGAAGCCATTGGTTTTTGATCAGCATGTCCATGGATTTCTGCCAAATTGGCCTCTCGCGCCGCACGCCGGAATCAGTCGAAGGCCCCTGCGCGCGTGCTAGAGGGGCAAGGTCCGTGTCAAATAAAAAACATGCGGCTACTCTCGCGCGCTGGCCGCGCGCGCATGTCGAACCCTTTCCGAAACATCCATCGCCGACGCGAGGACGCCGTCTTCGTCGTCGGCGTGATCAGCATGGGCGCTGTCACTGGCCGTGCCGTCGTCGCTGTCAGCATCGTCGCCAACATCGCTACTATCATCATCGTGTCTACCGTCGTCGACGTTTCCATGATACCTCTCCCGCCCAAGTCGCCGACTCGGAGGTGCCCACTGGGAACTGCCCAGCGGTCGGCACCACCGCGGCCTCGTCCGTCGCGCCAAACTAGCTGGCCGATGCTCGCGCGCTCATGCGCGGGCTGGCGCGGCCGCAAAGATGCACTAGCCAACGCCGAACACTCATCGCAATCGCCGCCGCATGGGTTTCGCAAACCAAGTTGCAGGTGGGTGGGTTGGATGATTGCAACAGCATGGGATGCGTCAACTCGTTTGCAAAAAGCCATGTCGCCACATAGATTGCACCGCATGGGTAGCACCACATAGCGGGCACCACATGGATGCCACCACAATCATTGCACCACGTAGCTTGCACCACATAATTTGAACCATACAGATTGCACCACATGTATTGCACCACGTAGATTGCACCATACAGATTGCACCACCCAGTTTGCTAAAACACACTGTTTGTGGCCCACGCTGGCTAATTAACATTGTAGTACGGACAATAGAAATCAACCCGTACATTCTCCACGTAAGAGGTCCAACTGCCAAGCCGCACAAGAGGACTCCTTTTGCAATCCGCGCAATGGGAATCATGTTCTGAATCCCCCACAACATAGAACACGATTGCAAAGCCCCACCAACATATTGTCTTGATATTCCGCACACCAAGACTCAATCTGTACACAGCAAGGATTTCTTGGGTCATTCGCGCAATAAGATCTCCTTTGTACACGCTCCAAGAAGAAATCCGAGTACAAAGCCGCACAACAGGACTCGACGTGTAACCGACACAATAGAAATCAGTTTGCGAAGTCCCACAACATCATGTCGCTTTGAATGGGGACCAGAAGTGCCCACACACACACCAAACGAGCAAACTGATAAAAATCTGATCACCCAGTGTTTTCAATTGTGTACCTTTTCCTCCCCTCCAAACTTTGTCCAGCCCCTTTCACAAAAACATACTTGCGTGAGGGGCTTGCATCTTGATTTCTATTGCGTAGATCAGAGTGAGGGGGCCGAACGGTCATTCACTGTCCCTGGGTGTGTGGCTGAAGCGGGATACCGCGATGCGGATAACTGTTGTTGTTGTTGTGGTTGTTGTTGTTGTTGTTTCTGGTTTTCTTGGTTTTGCTGTCATTGTTGTTTGTTGTTTGTTGTTGTTGCTTGGCACCGTCCCCCCGCGACCCGGCCCGCGACCCGGCCCGCGACCCACCGGCAACCCACCGCGCGGCCCGCCCGCGACCCACCCGCGACCCACCCTGCGACCCACCCCGCGACCCACCCGCGACCCACCCGCGACCTAACCCGCGACCTAACCCGCGACTCGCCCGCGACCCACCCGCGACCCACCCGCGACCCACTCGCGACCCATCCGCGACCCACCCACAACCAACCCACGACCCACCCGCGACCAACCTCGCGACCCACCCACATTGCTTTAACGAAAAATCGGCGCCTGCGGCGGGCTCGCCGTGTAATTTGTTGTACAAATAGGTGCCTGCGGCGGGCTTCGTCAGAGCCTCGCAGACTGCAGAGGTCGCCCGCTGCCCCTCACTCTTATCCGCAACTGAGATGTGCTACGTTACAATTCAGATTCTTCCGTGTGGCTTTATAGTCGGATTCCTTTTGCGGAAGATGTACACTCGAATTCCTTCTTTGCGGCCGACATCGAGAATCCCTTTGTGCGCCTTTGCATTCGGATTCCTTTTCGAGGAGGATTTGCCTATTGATTTCTAGCGTCTGCTTTACAACAAGAGACCATATGTGAGGCTTTACAGTAGGAGGTCTTGTATGCAAAAGCTACAGAGTGATTCCAATTGACGAAGTACAATGAGATTTCGGATGGTAGCTGTTATGAAAAGCGATTGGCAGAACAAGAAGCCATGCAACGCACACACACACACAAACACACAAACACACACACACACGACCAAACAACAAAAGCAAAGCAGAAGGAGCAACTCCTGGAACCCTCGGACTCCCAGTCGCCCAGATAGCCCCCGGAGCACCCCTCACGAGCCCGCCAAGCCCCAGAGACTCCCCAGCGGCGCGACACGCTGGCACACTGGGGACACCTCGGGCCAAGACCGCTTCCCCGCTCGACGCCGCACTCGGGCATGCCTCCCCGCCCCGAGCGGCCCCGGGCGGCCCCCGCGTCGC